GGAATTACAGGCATGCACTACCACGCCCGGCTGATTTTCTGATTTATTGTAGAGAGGAGGTCTCGCTGCCCAGGTGGGTCTCGAACCCGTGGGTCTTGTTGTTTTTCAGCTCTTTCTTCCACCTGCTCCTAAATGTTGGGGTTCCGTATTGGCCTCTTCCCACTCTTTCTGCACATCTCTACCTCTCTCCCTGGACTTAGTGACCTCATCCATGTGGTATCTCCCAGATCCAGGCCTCCTTATCCACACCAGTCCAGACGTTGAGTTGCCCCTGGCGTTGCCATCAGATGTTGCAAACACCCTCTCAAACTCACCAGGAGTGAAGGCCTCATCTGCCCATGAGCTGCATGGTTACTTGCACCCCTGTCTACCTGACCACCTCGAACTTAAGGAACAGCTCTTGACTGATTCTTTTTTTTTTTTTTTGAGTTGGAGTCTCACTCTGTCGCCCAGACTGGAGTGCAGTGGCCGCTCCCGGCCACCGCAGCCTCGACCTGTTGGGCTCTGGTGATCTTTCCACCTCAGCCTCCTGAGTAGCCGGAATTACAGGCACGCGCTACCATGCCCGGCTGATTTTTTGATTCATTGTAGAGATGAGGTCTCGCTGCCCAGGCGGGTCTTGAACCCGCGGACTCAGGCAATCCACTCACCTCAGCCTCCCAAAGGCACGGGATTACAGGCTGAGCCACTGAGCCCGGCTCTTGACTGATTCTTATGACAGGGTGGCAGACATGCGTGCAACTACCACGACCATCTCCATAGTCCTCTATATTCACAGGTCAGTGGACCAGATTTTTAAAGAGTTTTGGGATGGTGTCCAAGATGGAGTGTTAAGTAGAAAAAAACAGCACATTATGAAGAGTATGATTATAGCCGGGCTCGGTGGCTCAGCCTGTAATCTCGCACCTTGGGAGGCTGAGGTGAGTGGATTGCCTGAGCCTGTGGGTTCAAGACCCGCCTGGGCAAATTGGCGAGACCTCATCTCCACAATAAATCAAAAAATTAGCCGGGTGTGGTAGCGCGCGCCTGTAGTTCCAGCTACTTGGAAGGATGAGGCGGAAGGATCGCCGGAGCCCAGCAGGTCGAGGCTGCAGTGGCCGGTAGCGGCCGCTGCACTCCAGTCTGGGTGACAGAGTGAGACTCCAACTCAAAAAAAAAAAAAAGTGTGATTATATTGCTACAAATAGGACGATGCACACCAGACTGGTCACGGTGTCTTGTTCTGGCTTGTGGATTATGGGGAATTTTCACTTTCTCACACATTTTTGTAAAGCTTGAAATGTTTTGCATCATGCACGTTCTTTTGTAATTGGAACGTGTAATTGATGATTAAAACAAACAGACTGATAAAGGACTCACAGTGCATAGACATTGACCCCAAGACTCTAAAATAAAAAATAAAAACAAAGAAACCCCAAAACAAACAGAGAGCTGGGCCCGGTGGCTCACACCTATAATCCCAGCACTTTGGGAAGTGGAGGCGAGAGAACTGCCTGAGCCCACGGGTTCGAGACCAGCCTGGGCAACTTGGTGAGACCTCGACTCTACAATAAAGAAAAAAATTAGCTGGATGTGGTGTTGCACACCTGTAGTTCCAGCTCCTTAGAGGGCTGAGGTGCAAAGATCGCCAGGTTGATGCTGTGGTGGCCATGAGTGTGCCACTGCACTCCAGCTTGGGTGACAGAGTGAGACCAACTCAAAAATAAAATTTTAAACAAACAAACGAATAAATAAATAAATCTTACAAGGCAAACTTTGGAAGCACAAGATTCAAGGAGTTTTACGAAGTGTCCACATAGGATTCTGCCCTTGACTCTGAGCAAGTCAGTGTTTCTTGCCTTCGTTGCTCATTTGTAAACAAGAAGTGAGGGACCACGTTTGGCTTAGACACTACCATCGTCCCAGAATTGACAGAAGGTGGTGTGCTAGGCCAGACATCAGCTAACTGTAAACTATTGGAGAAGACAGTAAATCTCTTAGGCTATGCGGGTCAAGAGGCAAAATCGAAGACATCGTGTAGATATGACAAGAGCGGAAACCGATTTCCACACATTTTTGGTGAATGAAATAAAAATTATAGTAACTGAGTACAATATTTTTGTAATACTTTATTAATGAGAAGAATGGAATTCTTTGTGGGGGGTAACTAACACGTTGTGCTAAATCGAGGTTCAAAGTTTGAGTTCTCTACCATCGAAATTAGTTGCGAATGTCTGATTTTTTTTTTTTTTTTTGAGTTGGAGTCTCACTCTGTCGCCCAGACTGGAGTGCGGTGGCTGCTCCCGGCCACCACAGCCTGGACCTGCTGGGCTCTGGCGATCCTTCCACCTCAGCCTTCCAAGTACCAGAACTACAGGCGCGCACTACCACACCCGGCTAATTTTTTAATTTCATTGGAGAGATGAGGTCTCACCAAGTTGCCCAGGAGGGTCTCGAACCCGCGGGCTCAGGCAATCCACTCACCTCAGCCTCCCAAGACACGGGATTACAGGCTGAGCCACCGAGCCCGGCAGATTTTTTTTTTTTTTTGGAGTTGGAGTCTCACTCTGTCGCCCAGACTGGAGTGCAGTGGCCTCGACCTGCTGGGCTCTGGTGATCCTTCTGCCTCAACTTTCCAAGCAGCTGGAACTACAGGTGCGTGCTATGACGGCCAGCTAATTTTTTTTTTTTTTAATTGTAGAAATGCGGTCTCGCCAAGTTGCCCAGGCAGGTCTTGAACCTGCGGGCTCAGGCAATCCACTCACCTCAGTCTCCCAAAGCGCGGGATTACAGGCTGAGCCACCGAGCCTGGCTTGATTTTTTAAAAACCATTTAAAAATGTAAAAACTGTTTTCTACCCACAGGCCACGCACATCAGCCGGTGAGGCTGGCCTTGTTGGCTGCAACTTGCTGACCCTGTGCTAAACAGTCCCAGTGCATTTAGTTAACTGAATGCAAGGCGGAAGAAAGAAAAGGAAATTCTCCAGTTGTGGGTAAACCCATCAGTGGACACGCCAGGCCTCTTGAGTGTTAGATCAGCAATTTCTGGAGCAAAGAGGCCGTGATGACCCTCCTGCAGCTCCTAAGTGTAAGATGGCACAGCTTCTGAGGGGGGAGAAAGCACACCTGGAGGTGCGTGAGCTCTGAAGAAGGAGCCGCTCTGTCGGTAACTGGGCTTGGAGTGGCAGCGTGGGACACCCGCCTATGACTGTGGCAGTTCCAGGTCTGCAGCCCATTGCTATTCAGAGGATATCCAGGATGGTAAAACGGGCTGGCAGGTCTGTAGGTGGAAGAGCCGTGGCCTCCACTCCCCCTGCTCCACCCCTTTCCTTTGGGTGAGAGACTGGAGCAGTCACGACAGGGTGGGGGGGAGGGGAGGGTCGCACGTGGTGGGGGTCAAGCCACGCTCAGGCTCGTGCATTCCCACGACTGCCTTCCTATCTCACACACTCAGTTCTCACTCTGGATCCGAGCCAACTCAAGCCCCCAAAGGCGATCTCATTTGGGTCTTGAGCTGCAGTTACCTTCAAAACATCAAATTAGTCATAGAAAACTCCCCCATTGCTCTGGGCCATTTCCCACGGTTGCTAGTATCCCGAGACCAGGGAGAAGGGAAGCTGTTTTGCTAGGAGTGGGAAAAACATTTCCATTCGAGGGAGGTCCCAGTTCTTTTTTTTTTTTGAGTTGGAGTCTCACTCTGTCGCCCAGACTGGAGCGCAGTGGCTGCTCCCGGCCACCGCAGCCTCGACCTGCTGGGCTCCGGCGATCCTTCCGCCTCAGCCTTCCGAGTAGCGGGAACTACAGGTGCGCGCTGCCATGCCTGGCTAATTTTTTGATTTATTGTAGAGATGAGGTCTCACCAAGTTGCCCAGGCAGGTCTCAAACCTGCGGGCTCAGGCAATCCACTCACCTCAGCCTCCCAAAGCTCTGGGATTACAGGCTGAGCCACCAAGCCCGGCTGAGGCCCCAGTTCTGATGCTCAGTTCTGAGCCTGCTGTGGTCAGCTGCTTAGGGTTCTCTGAATCTCGCCTCAAGTGCTCCCCAAGAATGCACACGCTGCTCACTTCAGGAAGCTCCTCGAAATTTAGTCAGTTCTGGGAGTAGAAATAGGCGTTGAGGGCCAGGGGAGGAGAGCTGGGGTTGGCCCAGTCACCCAGGCCGGCTAGGTGGTGCGCCCATCAGAGACGCCACAAAGCAAGTGTGAAGGGGGCTGTGTGTCTCAGGCTCAGAGGGCATCCCAAGGAGGCAGAGTTCAGGGACCCACCCAGAAGGTGGAGGTGTGCAGTCTCTTGTCTCACTAGGGAGGGGTGGCCCACTGCGTGAACACAGTCCCAACCCCAGTGCATTGGAGAGGCACCCACTGGCCAGACCCAGAGCTGGGTCACACAGTCCTGGCTCTGCCACTCACTCTAACCGGGTCCTTACTACCCTCATGTGCCTCTGACTTAATTGCAAAGTGAACAACCTCTCCGGGTGATTGTGAGGGCTGAGTAAGAATTAATATAGGCCAGGCACGGTGGCTTACGCCTGTAATTCCAGCACTTTGGGAGGCTGAGGTGAGGACTGCCTGAGCCCAGGGGCTCGAGACCTGCCTGGACAACTTGGTGAGACCTTGTCTCTACAATAAATAAAAAAAAAAAAATTAGCCGGCCGTGGTGGTGCGCTACTTAGAAGGCTGCGGTGGAAGGATCACCTGAGCCCAGCAGGTTGAGGTTGTGGTGGTCCTGAGCGTGCCACTGCACTCCAGCTTGGGCGACACAGTGAGATTCCGACTCAGCAAAAAAAAAAAAGAATGACCTTTGGAGAAAGACTAATGCAGAAATAAGATCTGCTGCTGGCCCTGTAAAAGCAACAAGAGGCCACACGTGAGCTCCGTGACTCTCATTCAAACCCCATCTTTCAATCCCCGCATTGAAATTGCTCTTGGAATCTGCTTTTAAGCCCTCCCACCACATGACCCTGGCGGAGGGGGCCCGTTCAAAACCCTTTATTCCTCACAGCTGAGAAAGGTGGAGACTGAATGAGCGTTTTAGTACAAGTGGTTTATTTCTCTTCCAGGTGAGGGTGCGCATATATCAAGCAGAGTTTTGCCCGCTGGGATCCGGGACACCCCCCCAAAGGAATTTTAGTTTAGTTTCCACGCATTAAAAACAACCCTCTAGTTGCCAGTAATAAAACCTTAAGAAGCGACACCTTTGACGTCACAATGTTCCTGTCCGCATGTGACGTGGGCATACCAAGGTGTGTTTACAGTGCAAGGTATGTACAAGTGAATGCAGGTGAGACAGCGAATCCTGGCTGCCCTGTGGCCCCGCACTATCTTGGGAGCGTGGCTGGAAGCCGAGAACCACTCTGCTGTCCATGTTTAGATGACAGGTGGCTCTTCCAAAATGGGAACAGAGCCCCGGTCCCTAGCCAAGTCGCCCTGCGCCCCTGCTGTGGTGTGCAAGGTTGTGGGGGCTTCTGTGTTGAGTACTCAGGGTTGGCAGGAGGGTTGGAAGCACCAAAGACCCCCACCTGGCCCTTCAGCAGGCAGGATGGTGAGTCCGTATTTCCTCCTGGCCAATAAGCTCCTGTTCCCTAGCAGGTCAGGGGTCTGGGACACGGGGTGGGGACAGGTGGTCTGGGAGGGGAGGGAAAAGACCTGTTCTCACATCCAGACACAAACTGTGCCACTTTGCTAAAACCTTTTCTGACAAACTTGCTTGAAGACAACAAGGAGGGGACAGCTGGCAGGGGCATCAGCTAGTCCCCAGGGCAGAGGGCTCTGTTCAGTTTTCCTTCTTGGCTTTCCCCTCTTAAAGACCCTCCTCCCTAGGTGGGATGAACCCAGCTCCCCATCACACAGCAGCTTGGGACAGGATGTCTCACTGATCTTTATTTTATGTAAAAAATCCACTCCTCCCCCATTTTCCAGATCTATAAAGAACTGGTCAGGGCCAGGAAGACGGGTAAAAGTGTGATATAAAACCCAGTTGTAAGGAATGAGCCCCAAATCTATGGTAAAAACTGGATGAGCTATGAGTTTCAATTCTTTGGATAACAAAAATGTTAAAAAAACACTGGGGGAAAAAAAGTTAACGTTGCTTTCAAAATGTCTGTTCAACCCTGAGACAGTCCCTATCTGCAGCTGACAGACTCGAAGCAGATTCCAGAAAGAGGGTGGGGCGATGGAGGGTTAGCGAGACAAGTGGGACAGGGCGGGCTTTCTCCCTGTTCCCATCTGGGCCCACCAGGCTGGTTCCCCAGCCCCAGAGCCACCAGCCTCCCACTGCAGGACTCTCCTGACACCTCCCCTCAGTGGCCCAGGAAGAGCTGTCTGGCCCTGGGAACTCCGATTTGGACTCTCCTGGTCTCATCAGGAATGCCAGCTCCTCAAAAAGCCTCTCCTGGCCAGCCTTTCCCACTGTTACCTGCAGAGTCATGGAGGAGAAAGGTGACTCAGTGAGGCCACCTGGGCTTTGGCTGTGCTCAGAAGAGGCACAGTCCTGCAGTGGGACCCGAGAGGTCACAGAGGTCTCTGACGGCAGCGCCTGATCCGGCCCTGCCACTCCCCTCCTGGCATGGGTGGGATGCAGGGTGAGCCGACCCAGGCAGCTGCCCAGAGAAGGAACCTCCGAGGCAGCCAAGAGCGTGGAGGATTTTCTGGCGCGGAGGGCAGGACAGGAGAGAGAGAGGCTGGCTCAGGTGGTGGCTCTTCTGTCCCCCTGGGCTTTGGTCGGGAATCCCAGCTGCCGTCTCCATATGCCTTTGGTTTCTGGTAAAGAAACGCAGCTTGTGTTTGCATTAATTAAAAACCAAAACGGAAGCAGGAGGAGGAAGCCCCGCAAGTCTGTTAGGCTGGAAACTCATTCCCGTAGTGCCGCAGGTGCTCGTCTGCCACGGACAGGTAGGTGGCCCTCATGCTGGGCGAGTACTGCGGGAGAGAGGAGAGGGCGGTCAGATGAGGAGAGCCGGGCATCGGCCCAGCAGAGGTGCGGGAACCTCAGGTGGAACCTCGCCAGCTGCGGCAGCCAGGTACCAAGTCACAAGCACAAGGCGAAACCTGGTGATGCCTCCAGCCCCGCGCCCATCGGGACACCTACCTCCCAGCCTCACTCACAGACCAGCTGTGCTCCCTCCACCATGTCCCCCCCAACTCCCCAGCACCCAGCCTGTCCCCTCACACCAGGGACAGCGTCACAGAGGAGCAGTCAGCAGTAAGCTGGCAGGCCCAGATCCCAGCTGTGCATCTCACTGGCCCCCATGACCTTGGCTGAGGTTCTCCCAGCCTCAGTTTCCCCACCTACAAAATGAGCCTAAGGACACTCAGCTCTTACACTGAAAGGATGAAATGACAAAAAGCAGGCAAGTGCCCTCATGCAGGGGCTCTCAAACTTGGCTGCACATTACAAAGATCTGGGAGCTTAAAAGAACCCTGATGCCCAGGCCACACCCACCGTGTACACACACACACACACACACACATATATATTTTTTTGAGTTGGAGTCTCACTCTGTCACCCAGACTGGAGTGCAGTGGCCACTATTGGCTACTGCAGCCTTGGCCTGCTGGGCTCTGGCGATCCTTCCACCTCAGCCTTCCAGTAGCTGGAACTACAGGCATCCGCTACCACACCCGGCTAATTTTTTGATTTATTGTAGAGATGAGGTCTCGCCAAGTTGCCCAGGCGGGTCTCGAACCCGTGGGCTCAGGCAATCCACTCACCTCGGGCTCCCAAAGCGCGGGATTACAGGCTGAGCCACTGAGCCCGGCTCACATATTTTTTTATTAAGGTAATGCACGTAACATGCAACTAAGCTACGTTTCAAGTGCTACCAATGTGTTTTAGAGCTCTTCAGCCAATTCTAATGTGCAACTGAGTCGGAGCAGACCTCAGCTCCTCTTCCCCGGCACTGGAGACAGGGCTTCTCACCCTCTCCCCTGAACACAAACCACCTGGGGGCCTTGGTCACAGGAACTGAGGTTCTGTGTGTCTACCAAGCTTCTAGATGCTTCTGGTCTCTTGGCCTCAGGGACGATTCAGGGGTCCAGGCTACTCATACTGGAGGGAACTGAATGCCCTCTGCCTGAGCTGGAAAGGGGATGGGACACCGGGCTCTTCAACCTAGTGGGGCTCATCCAGGGTGCTTTGGCCCCCCCCCCGAGCCATGTGGCAATGTCTGGAGACATTCTGGTTGTCACAACTGGGGGTGGGGGGTGGGTGCTACTGGCATCTAGTGGGTAACGGCCCGGAACGCCGCTAAACATCCTACAATGCTCGGGACAGCCTCTCACCACAAAGAATGATCCTTCCTGGCCAGCAATAGTGCTGAGGCAGGAAGCCGGCCTGAGAGCCGTGCTTCTCCAAGTGCGGTTTCCAGACCAGCGGCGTCAGCCTTTAATTCGGAACATCACGGAAATGCAAACCCCAGCCCCGCCCCAGGTTTTCTGAACCAGAAATGGGGTGGGACCACTGCGCTTTAAGACACTTCTGACGCACTCGCAGGTGTGACACCTTAAAGCAGTGTTTTCCAACTTGCTCGATGATACGTTGGCTAAGAACTCCCCAGGTTTCTTTCCCAAGAGATTGTTTGTCTGGAGAAAAGTCCCAGTGTTGATATTTTAAAGAATTGCCTGGGTCAGTTTTGGTTAGTAAGTCTAGGACACAGCACCTGGAAGGACAGGAGAGATTATCCTTGAAGTCAGAGCTGGGAGAAGACGCCTTCCCAGCAGGGAGACAGGCCACTCATGCAGATGACTAGGGGTATATCACCCCTAGAGAAAACCCCTCACTGTCCCAGAGAGGGAGATGGGCAGAGGGAGGGATTTATCCATACCTGAGACTTGCTAAGTGCTGAGAATTTAGAGCAGGTGCCCCTGGGGGAGAGCAGGGAGCAGCCAGCTGAGTCATCTTTACTGGGGCAGACGCCTACACCCTCACACTGAGGATTTCCCTGGCCAGTGGCCTTATTCCTTGTCTCTCCAGGACCCTTGCCCGGCAGCCAACTTTGCCAGAGCAATGAGGGTTTCTGGGCAGGTCTTAATTCTAGAGAGGGAGGTTTATTCGTCCTTCAGCCTTGCAAATAAGGTCAGTTCTTGATTATCTCTGCTAATGGCGGGAGGAGTAGCCCGGATCTTCTCGACAGAAGGTAATCCGAAAATCATTTCTATTTGGCATCATAATGCAGTCAGTAATTCTTTTTTCACGGCACCAGATTTCCCCTAATTACGTTTTGCTTAGATTAATATTAAAGTCAATCTGCATTCCTGGGGCCACAGCAGCTGTGGGAGGAAAAAAGGAGGCTCCTGGTGAACGAGAGAAGCCAGGTTGGGATTTGCAAGGTGCTGACTCTGAAGACAGGCTCAGTCAGGCCCTGCCCTTCCCGAGGACCCAGGAACAAAGAACAAAATGAGGCTGGGGTTCGTGTGGTGGAAAAGCTGCGGACCCCAGGGTGGAGTCACGGGAGGACTCCTGGATGTGGCAGTGAAAGGCTCTGCCCAGCCAAGGGAAGGCGCAAGAACTCTCCCACCCACCTCTCAGACTTCTCACCTTGGCTTTGACCCCCCTTGCCCTCTCTCATAAATGCCACAGCTCTGTAGAAAAGGTGGGGGGGGGGTTGTGACAAGGGAAGGAGGGGTAAGGAAATAACCTGCTTGCTGTCCCACAGCACCGCATGCTTCACTCACATGCACACTTTCATAGTGACTCGTTCCTCCCGTGCTCATACCACCCATGAGATGCTATTATCACCACCTCCATCCTACAGATGGGGAAACTAAGCCACAGAGAGGCAAAGTACTCCTCCAAGGTCACAGAAGCCACAAGCCTGAACGAGGACCCAGGCATTCGGCATTGGAGTCCATGTCCTTGAAGCTCAATGGTCTACAGTCTCTATGTGCAGCTCTCTGTCTCAGCCAAGATTCCTGAGACCTCCGGGTACTTCTCTGGGATAAGACAGCATGGTCTTCTCTTCCCACCCTCCCAACCCTCCCAGACATACCTCCACATCGACCCAACCTCCAGCCCCGGGCCCTGCAGAGGCCAAAAGTTAAGGGCAAACACAAATCTAGAGAGAAAAAATTCCCTTAATTTTTCCCAGTGCAAAAAGGGAAACAGATCTTCTCTTCTTGGTGTATTTCCTTTAGAAAACGTCACTGTAGCTGGGCTCGGTGGCTCAGCCTGTAATCCTGTGCCTTGGGAGGCTGAGGTGGGTGGATTGCCTTACCCTGCGGGTTCGAGACCTGCCTGGGCAACTTGGTGAGACCTCATCTCTACAATAAATCAAAAATTAGCCAGGCGTGGTAGCGCACGCCTGTAGTTCCAGCTATTTGGAAGGCTGAGGCGGAAGGATC